ATTGTTTAGTTTTTTCCTGGTTGGTTGCTGAAAAGATTGTTTAGTCTTTTCCTGGTTGGTTGCTGAAAAGATTGTTTAGTCTTTTCCTGGTTGGTTGCTGAAAAGATTGTTTAGTCTTTTCCTGGTTGGTTGCTGAAAATATTGTTTAGTCTTTTCCTGGTTGGTTGCTGAAAAGATTGTTTAGTCTTTTCCTGGTTGGTTGCTGAAAAGATTGTTTAGTCTTTTCCTGGTTGGTTGCTGAAAATATTGTTTAGTCTTTTCCTGGTTGGTTGCTGAAAATATTGTTTAGTGTTTTCCTGGTTGGTTGCCGAACATATTGTTTAGTGTTTTCCTGGTTGGTTGCCGAACATATTGTTTAGTGTTTTCCTGGTTGGTTGCCGAACATATTGTTTAGTGTTTTCCTGGTTGGTTGCCGAACATATTGTTTAGTTGTTTTTTTTTAATGGTTGGTTGCTGAAAAGATTGTTTAGTCTTTTCCTGGTTGGTTGCTGAAAAGATTGTTTAGTCTTTTCCTGGTTGGTTGCTGAAAATATTGTTTAGTCTTTTCCTGGTTGGTTGCTGAAAATATTGTTTAGTCTTTTCCTGGTTGGTTGCTGAAAAGATTGTTTAGTCTTTTCCTGGTTGGTTGCTGAAAATATTGTTTAGTCTTTTCCTGGTTGGTTGCTGAAAATATTGTTTAGTGTTTTCCTGGTTGGTTGCCGAACATATTGTTTAGTGTTTTCCTGGTTGGTTGCCGAACATATTGTTTAGTGTTTTCCTGGTTGGTTGCCGAACATATTGTTTAGTGTTTTCCTGGTTGGTTGCCGAACATATTGTTTAGTTGTTTTTTTTAATGGTTGGTTGCTGAAAATAATGTTTAGTTTTTTCCTGGTTGGTTGCTGAAAAGATTGTTTAGTCTTTTCCTGGTTGGTTGCTGAAAATATTGTTTAGTGTTTTCCTGGTTGGTTGCCGAACATATTGTTTAGTTGTTTTTTTAATGGTTGGTTGCTGAAAATAATGTTTAGTTTTTTCCTGGTTGGTTGCTGAAAAGATTGTTTAGTCTTTTCCTGGTTGGTTGCTGAAAATATTGTTTAGTGTTTTCCTGGTTGGTTGCCGAACATATTGTTTAGTGTTTTCCTGGTTGGTTGCCGAACATATTGTTTATTGTTTAGTTGTTTTTTTAATGGTTGGTTGCTGAAAATAATGTTTAGTTTTTTCCTGGTTGGTTGCTGAAAAGATTGTTTAGTCTTTTCCTGGTTGGTTGCTGAAAAGATTGTTTAGTGTTTTCCTGGTTGGTTGCCGAACATATTGTTTAGTGTTTTCCTGGTTGGTTGCCGAACATATTGTTTAGTTGTTTTTTTAATGGTTGGTTGCTGAAAATAATGTTTAGTTTTTTCCTGGTTGGTTGCTGAAAAGATTGTTTAGTCTTTTCCTGGTTGGTTGCTGAAAAGATTGTTTAGTGTTTTCCTGGTTGGTTGCCGAACATATTGTTTAGTGTTTTCCTGGTTGGTTGCCGAACATATTGTTTAGTTGTTTTTTTAATGGTTGGTTGCTGAAAATATTGTTTAGTTTTTCCCTGGTTGGTTGCTGAAAATATTGTTTAGCTTTTCCCTGGTTGGTTGCTGAAAATATTGTGTAGTTTTTTCCCTGGTTGGTTGCTGAAGAAATTAAATATTGTTTAGTTGTTTCCTTGTTGGTTGCTGAAAGTATTGTTTAGTCTTTTCCTGGTTGGTTGCTGAAGATATTGTTTAGTTTCTTTCCTGGTTGGTTACTGAAAGTATTGTTTAGTCTTTTCCTGGTTGGTTGCTGAAAGTATTGTTTAGTTTTTTCCTGGTTGGTTGCTGAAAAGATTGTTTAGTCTTTTCCTGGTTGGTTGCTGAAAAGATTGTTTAGTCTTTTCCTGGTTGGTTGCTGAAAAGATTGTTTAGTCTTTTCCTGGTTGGTTGCTGAAAATATTGTTTAGTCTTTTCCTGGTTGGTTGCTGAAAAGATTGTTTAGTCTTTTCCTGGTTGGTTGCTGAAAAGATTGTTTAGTCTTTTCTTGGTTGGTTGCTGAAAGTATTGTTTAGTTTTTTCCTGGTTGGTTGCTGAAAATATTGTTTAGTTTTTTGCTGGTTGGTTGCTGAAAATATTATTTAGTTTTTTCCTGGTTTGTTGCTGAACATATTGTTTAGTCTTTCCCTGGTTGGTTGCTGCATGAACATATTTGTTAGTCTCTTCCTGGTTGGTTGCTGCATGAAAATAGTTTTTTGTTTTTGCCTGTTGGTTCTAAAAGGAATCGATTTCACTACTGGACATACGTTTATTTTTTTTATTTTTCCCACGAGGCATTTGCCCCAGTTGCCCAGTGGGTTGCTTCCTTTTTTCAACTTTTTGTTGGGACGGTTTCCCCCCACTTCTTTTGTTGGGAAGGCTTCCCCCTTTTGTATTTGTTGGGAAGGGGTTCTCCTTGAAAGTCAAGCAGCCGAAAAAGGATGCCTTGTTTTCCCATGGCCACTGGGCATAAGGGACTCGATTTCACTACTGGACATATTTTTTTTTTTTTTTGCCCAGGGGGCTTCGGCAAATGGAAGGTGGGTTGGCGGTTCGAAAAAAATGAGGACATCGCTGGCCCCTGGTCCACTTCCACTGTAAAGCGAAGCCAAGAGCACCGTGCCTGGGGTGCCCAGAACTGTCTGAACCGAAATCGGTGGGGAATGAGAGATCTGGAACGAAGCCAGGCCCAGGCTTTGGATGGTTTCCTTGGGGGTCGTTCCCACATTCCCTGAGCAAGTTACTCACAGGGGCGTTGGATTCTGTTCCCTCCAATTGCAAGACTCGTGCTGCAGTTCTTGACACATCGAGTCTTGCTTCTTCGTTTGGTAGACACCCCGGTTGGGCAAGAGGGAAACCATCAGGAAGCTGAGCGATGATGGGTGGTACAACAATTTGACAGGTGCCCATGCCCGGCTCAGGTTTCGGTTTTGCTCGACTGGTTTCCATTTGTTCTTTTGATTGTCACCTCACTCCGTGAGTTCATGGCCTTCAGTTACTTTTTGGGTTTAACAGTTCCCGGACTTTTTTTGGCCGGTCCAGTCAGGAGGTGGGTTGTGTATGGGATGTGTCCCAACACTGTAGGAAGTCGGAGGTATGATTTGCAGGGTGGTGAAGCCTGTCAGTCCCCATATCAAAGCTCCACATTTAGAAGCACATGACCCTTCACCAAATACCCACTTTCTTTGGGGAAATCACGGGAATTCCTGACCAAAGCGGGTGGCCAACCAGGCCCCTTGAACCAAAAGCCCAAAGAAGTGGGTCTGCGGAGTCGAGCCACGCCGTCCCAGGCGCACGAGGCGGTCTGCCGGGATTCGGCCGACGGGGCGTTTGCCGATGTCGCCGGAATTTTTGGTTTGGGAAGGGATTGAGCGCCGAGCTTCAAGGGTCCCAAAGGGAGATGCAGTTCGGATTTTGAATTGAACAACCCCAGATGATTCCATGGAAGCTCCCGAAGGGACCGAACCCTTCAAAAGGAAGGCTCGGAAATCCATTTACAGAGGCCTGAAAGTTTCTTCACGGAATCCTTTGTGTGTAGTGCTTGTTCATTCTTAACGGGGTTGTGTGTTTGCAGTCTGCTGTGCCAGATTCGCTTTTTCTCCGGTTTGGTTGGGTGTCTTGGAATGTTGGAATCGACGTTTTGCAGCCTCAGGCTTTGGCGAGCGACTTCAAGAAAGCAACAGCTTTTTTGTGGGTCCGACGTGTTTTTTTTTGCGTGAACTCCAGAACCTGCGCTCTGTTTTGTGGTTATTTTGTTTTGGATCTTTGGACTTTTGTTTGGAAACCTTGAATTTTCCACTGGGCCCTTGTTGCAGCAGAGAGGTCAACAGCAACCGCGCCATCATGTTGAGATCAATTTTATGTTTTTCAGGGACTCTTGTCAGTTGATGGAGTGAATAGTTGCTGTCCTTGCTTTTTCCAATGATCAGTGATTCAGTGATCGCTTTCAGTGCAGAGGCTTTAGTTTAGCCGTTTCCGCATTTTGCTGATTGTAGTTCTTCAGCCCATTGCGTTGCCCTCCTTCAAAGGATGCAGAGGCTTTGGTCTTTTTTGAGTTGAGCCTTGTTCCCGCAAAAACCGATCTCTTGCCCATTTGAGCCACTTGTTCAAAACCCGCGTAGATGAAGGTTAGTAAGGGACAATCCCAGCCAGAAAGAGCTGTGGCCGCCTTTGTCTTTCCTTACATGGTTCTGGGTCAACCATTAAATTTCCGGGTTTCGATTGTGACTCGTTTAGTGGTGTCATGTTTTACGGGAACCCCCAGACTGGTGTTTTCCTTTTGGTTCCCGTCAACCACCAAAAAAGGCTGGTACCCTTGCAAAAAACCAGACCCATTTCTTCTGGCAGATGACAAATTCCGCAGAAGGTCTCAGAGACGAGCGCGGAGTAGCGAGTCGCGAGGTGAGAAGACGGAGACGCTCAGAGGAATTCCTTTGAGTCGCTCTCGTGAGCCTCTCCGGTTCTTCGCTCGCTTGGCCTGATCTCGGTGAGCCCACCCAAGAAACGGCAGCAACCAAAGACGCTGGCAGAGGCAAAAACACTTACGTGGATCGGTACTTCAGCTGTTTCTCCCGACCTGAGTCAATGCCTAAACTTTTAAGTGTTTAAACGAAAGCTCAACCAAGCCTACACTCGCCTGCAAGTATCCCATTCAAAACTACTTGGACCCTCCAAAATGCACGGGATTTTCTTGCGGACCTTCGCACAAAGAAGGTGCCCTCGGTCCAGGTCTGTGAAAGAGTCGGCTCCGAACATGAGGCACTGTGCTTGTGGTGCTTCGGAAGAGATTTCTATAACTGGGATGGCAATTGAGTAGAGGGTCCTCTGGCTTATCGAGAACTAAGAGTTCGCCAGCCCACACTCCCCGAATTGCTATCAGGGTCTAGAAAGAACCTCAAATTCCAGCAGGACCCTTGCGTTTCGCCACCGGCGAGGGTTTGGGGGCTGACATGTTGTATAGTTCACACATATTTGTTTAAAGAGGATGCTCAACATGGAATTACCCGTTTGTGTTTGGTCAAGGGACTTCAACAGGCCAGGCCATTTTTGCGCGGATTTCCCGATGTGTTGTTGATTTGCTTTCAATCTTTCGCGCGGCCACCAACTCAGGCGGACGGCGGAACCCTACTAAAAAGGCAGAAGCAACCACCAGCCTTAAACGGTTTCGTTGGGTCAAGGGTGTGGCCAACGCGCAACTTCACGCCAACGACAGTTTCACCGTTTCACCAGGTGCCGGCCTAGACTAGCGGGGTCGTCCTGTGACTTATTCCGGAGGGGAACCACCTAGCACCCGAAAAGCCGCAAATCAAAAAACCTACGGGTTTTTTCGGAACCGATAGGGAAAAAGCCGGGGTGCAAGAGGCGGGCTCCCCTTGTGGTTCTGAGCATGACGAGTTTCAGGGCAAACTGAGAAACTGTATTGGAAGACCCAACTTGACCAGTTGTGTGTGTGTTTTTTGGAGAAGGACCACCCAGAGCTGCAGTGCATGCGAGTTTGCATGCGAGTTTGGGAGACATCGCACCAAGCGCCGAAGAAAACAACGTACATTTTTCCAAGGCGATGCTTCGAATGAAGCGTTGGCTTCTGAATTGGCGACCTGGGAGGTTCTTATCAAGGTTTGAGCCAAAATCAAAACCCGAAAGGTGCAATGAAGATGATGATTTGGGGTCTCAAATCTTGGTGGCTCCCAGCCATCCCCTTAGCTTTTTGGCTTTTTAGTGTTTAGTGGGGATTTCCGTCTAACCCACTAAGAGTTTAACTTTGAGCGAGGGATGAGGGCAGCCCAGAATTGAATCGTTTTCAGTTGGCCTCCCTAAACGACCCATTTGCATTGGTGTTGGACTCGATGCCAAGGGTTTTTGGTTCTGGCTCATCGATGGGAGATCCAACCTTGGGATTCGCCTGAGCGCGCAACTTGCCACGACATGCCACCAGACAAGAGGCTTCTTGTTGAGGCTGAAGCCAGAAGGCAATGAGCCAGTGGCTGAACATGCAGCATGGTCAACTTGGAGTTCACATGCGGAGCGTTGAACTACCAAGTCCACCTGGGCGCTCGAACTATTTAAGGCAAAATGCCCTTTTTGGAGTCTCTCAAGGAGACGCCTCGGACCGCAGCCGAAGTCCGATTCGCAGCGCGCGCCCGAAGAAGAAAACATCGAGGGGGTATTAATGGGAGATTCTCACCTTCCCCATCTTTTTTTTGCGGGGTCGTTTTTTTTTTTGGGGGGGGGGTTCTTTCGGGTTATCAAGTCAAACCGGGGTTCAGTCTCCCTTTATTACCCCCTAGGAGTGGCCTGGATAGTGAAACGTGGGCCAGTATGTGTGAGGCAATACTCTGGATGGGCTCAAACTTGCCTCTGATAAACCCTGGAAGGATTTGATTCCCCCTGTAAATACCAACACACCTTACGGTTTCACAGGGATCCGGATGCATTATACACATGAACATTGCAACTTGTACATGGTGACCGGTGGCTTCCCTTTTTTCAAATGAGCAAAATGTATCTTTTAAGGAGCCCTATTTCAAACATGGTGCATGTCGTGGCGCGAAATGGATTTGTCTACCTATGGTAGCACCCGTGTCCAAGGGTAGTTTAGGGTAGGCCATTCCACAAGAGCCCCTTAGTCCATCTATCTGCGCTTTGCGTTTTTTTGCTTCAGCGCTGTGTGTGGTTTACGTGTTGCAAATGCAGATATGATATTCCATGTTTTAGAGGGGGTTCGAACTTGTATCACAGTGGTTGGATAAACCCCGAATGATCCCACAATCCCGGTATTGTTTGAAGGGCAAATATGAGAACCCGGTCTTTGGCGACCAACTTGACGCAACGGTTGGACAAGAGCGACCCCGGTTCATTCATTGCATTTCCCCGGCCTGTTGCACACCCCGAGGTGAAAGCCGAGATCATATGAGCGGGGCCATTTGGGGGTGTTGTCTTTTCTTGACGGCTTTTCCATTGTGGGGGTTCCCCAATCTTGAGGCAAACCGTATGCGTTGTTTCTTGTTTTGGGCAACCATCCGAGGTACTTTCGGGGAATCCGTGTTAAAGAAGACAAAAGCGTATCACGAGTGAATGGCAGCACAATTCGCACTAACTGTCCGCCAAAGGGTCCACCAATAGAATGCGTAGCTGAAACTGACCTCACGTTCAAGAATACGTCACAATTTGGGCCTTGGTTGACTCACTTCCCGAGTTTACGGATTTTCGGGTAGGAACATCTTAGGGTGAAAGCGCAAATTATTGGGATGTGTTTTGCTGGCCAACCCACAGATCCGTGAGTTTTATTTTTTACATGAACTTGTTTTTTTGAGCCGACCCATTGAAGGATAGTTCGCTCTCGATGTGAAAACAAACTCCAGACGGTGCCGGAATCTGCAAAAACATCATGAAAGACAAAAGTGGATGTTCGGTAAATTGGTAACTGGTTTCCTCGCGGCCAATGTCCATCTTCAAAATGAGTTGATGTAGACCAAACATGTACCGCCTGATCTTTTTTTACCCTCGGGTTTCGGGCAACTCCTTTCCTTTTGCATGGGGTTGGCGAGAGACATCCACCCGATCAATCCCTTGGCTGGAAACTTCAACGGCTAAAAAGGAAACCCTACTAGGGTTCCTTGCCCCCATTAAAAGAAAGGTTGACCCAGTTTGGATGATGACATTCCTTATAGGAAAACAATGGTGGTAACTGAACCCCGGGGGAAAGACATGCGGGACAAGTGCGATGGGCACTTGTTTTGTTTTAGTCCCGACAGGCCAAGAACCGTGTGCCACTTCAAGGGTAAAGGGGCGATCGATTCGGTACAGTAGGTGCATGACCATGTTTGCTCACAACTTACCAGTAAACCGGCACAGCCAGGGGGGAAGGGTGGGGGGGGGGGTGCAGGAAGTTTCATGAATTCAAGACTCATAGCTATATTTAGAGTATACTTAAATTTACATGTGTGTCTTTTTGTCTCGTTTTTTGTCCCCGTGTTTTTCTTTCTCAGCGTCATTATCTCTCTTGCTCTTTTGTTTCTTTCTCTTCCACTTTATCTGTGTTGCTTTATCTTCATCATTATCTAGAACTAAACAAATACACAACACGAACAGACATTGCAAGATAAAGATAGCGAGCAAGAACCATATATACATAAAGGTAAAGATCACCAATAATGTAAATGAACGAATACCAAAATAGCGAATGTGAGAACAACAAAGAGAACAAACCATAACAATCAAGACCCGCAGAGGTTTTTGCTTTTCCACGATTTCTATGCCAGTGCCAGTAACACGGAAGTTCCTTCTAAACGTCCTTTGTCTAACTGCAGGATCGCTTTAAGTATTGAGGGACTCACCTTGAGAATTGTTTTGGCTTTTGGAGTCCCCGGCAAATGTCAAACTTGCTGGTGCTCGGTAGGGAATGAGAGGGAATGAACCCAGGTATTCCCTTAAAGGAAGTCACCAGTTGGATGGCTTCTAGGGGCGATTTTACTTCCCATTCCCTGCCTATCGCACCAGCAAGCAAAGGCTCCCACCTTCGAGCACTTTTCTTGGAGCACGGCAGGTGCCCGAGGTCACTTTGGCTTCCTTCCACGGAGACACCAACGGCCTCCTCACCATGCCCATGTTGGACAAGGCGCGCCTGTGCGCGAGCCGGACACAGATCCGGATCTCCGGGGGCAAACAAACATGAAGTCAATCTGTCGGGCATGGTGAATGTTTCGCTTTTTCTACTTGGTCTCCCGGCAGATCATAGTAAATGATCCAAGTACAAGTAATTGGTACCTGTTCTGCTTGATTTCTTGGCCAAAGTAGTCTTGGGGGCATAGTGCTGCCTCTTCAAATCTTCAAAGCCATGTTGGCGGAATGAAAACGGGTTTTGGGCGCTCCAAAGCTGAATAGCTGCAAGGGGAGAGGAACAGGCATCTAACAAGGCACTTAGCCACTAGTCACTATAAGGCTACACCGCTCCCTGGCGTTTCAAGGATTTGTCGATAACACCTCTGGGATTACATCCGGGCATTCGGCGCATGTCGGGCTAAGATAAAACCTGGGTATCTCGGACGAGTTTGGGTAGTTTCCCCGAGAGGAAATCCCGGTGTGGTACAACTCCATTCCTGGCCATTTGGAAATAAACATTTGGAAAGACCAAAAGGCTGCTGTGGCTCTGAATCCAGAGCTTCATTTAGCTTCAACTACTAGTACCTCAAGGTCAACTTAAACCAAGAGTCGCTCTTGGGAAAACGGTTGGGTCAAAGTCTATGGTCAAAAACTGGCGCCATGTCTCAAGCTGAGTCTAGGTGTGGTCCTCGCTGCAAAAGACGACCCGCTTGGTCTTCGGCCTGGATGCGAATACTCACGCCAAGCGCCAGGAGGGCAAGGCGTGTTCGGGCGCGGGGTTCGATTTGAGGCTTCTGCACCAAGTGGTTGGGCAAACTGGTTGGCGGGGTGGCAGAACTGACTCACCTATTAGTGACTGGGGTAGACTTAGGATACATTTTACATTTTTCCAGTGACTCCATGTGAAGCAATCAATACAGTATACATTCTATAACTGGGCCTAACTCTACTCATAATGAAGCCCTGTTTAAGGGCTCCTCGGTTTTTTCATAGCCCAACGCGCCCCTTCGTTTTCAGGGAGGTAAATGAGTCGGAAAATGCACCCAGTGCTTCTGGTTGCCTGGGGTCTCAAAACATATTTTTTGAGTTTCAGGTTGACTAAATATGAAGCATAATCCATCATACTTACCACTATAGTAGGTAAGTTGGGGGGACCTCAACGTAAAACGGCATAATTCTACTGGTTCGGTTAGGTTAACTTTCATTTAGCTGAAACCAATCGGTTTCATTGGATTTTTACTAGGTCCCCCAGTAGTGCCCTTTCTAACCCTTTTTTCGGGGGAGGGTTCCCCTACTAAAATAGACTACAAAACCATACCCTTATTTTAACCGGAGGACCTAGTTTATGCGAGTTTGGAGCAAAGAAATATCGCCCGCGGGTCGTCAGTGGGCATCTGGCACCGCATGGCTGGCATGGCTGGTTAAAAGACTGGCTCCTGAGCTCGGGCCGGACCCGCCATAGGAGGCAAAAGTGGCTGGGTACTCTGCTTTAGTGGCAAGTGGAAGCAAGGGGCTAATCTAAACAAGCCTTGTACAGGCTGAGATGTTCATGACCCACATGACCCTGCTGTGAACTTGCAACGTCTCAAGATCCGTTGCTGTTTTCAGGTCTTTTGGTTTCAAAGGCCCTCATATTTGAGGCTCATCGGGATCTAGGATTTGTTTGTGCACAAGCAATGCTTGCTGGAGGCTAGATGATGAGTTGCACGGCCAAGCCCGCTTCGCCTATTCCAAGCAACTCCATCCTTGGATTGCCGTTTTGCCCTGTTTGGGCAAATCAGGAGACCCGCAAAATGTAGCGACCACGTCCCGGCTGAATTTGCTGAAGAAACAGAGATTCGGACAGAAATGGAGCCCTCAAAGTCCTGGTTTCTTGATCTCCAATGCCAGGAAGCCATGGGTTTTCGGTCTGGGACTTTGACCCGCATCAGTTGGACCCTGCGGGGAGTTTAGGGAGCTTGCCCTTGGGTTTGGAGTTAAAAAGTAAGGTGTTGGCTGGAACGAGTCGGGTGGGATCGTTTTGGTGTTTTCTTTCCTTTTCGCGGTGGATCCTAGGCTTATCACTTTGTAGCTAACCCTTCGCCATCTTCCTTGTTTGGAACAAAAGGGGGTCCCCCACGTTAGGTCCCCTTTCAGTGCAACCCCGAAGTCATCGATGATTCCCCTATAAATACCAACAAATAAGTGCTTCAACCATGGTTTTCAATTGGTGCGAACGGATTTCGTCCATCCACAGAATGAATACCAGGTTGTTGATCAGTAGGGGGGGTGCCCTGTTTCAGTCGGGGGTTCACTTTTGGAGGGAACACCCCCCCCAAAGCTGCCCAGCGGCTTGCTTCCTTTTTCCAACTTTTCTTTGGAAGGGTTCAGGTTCCTTTGAAGTCAACCCCAAAAAAGTCGGAGGCCCTGTTTGATTTTTTCGTGCCCATGGAAACCCTCCGAACATCTGAGCTGGCCTCTACCGGGAAATGAAATCTCAGGTGAGCCACTTGCTCAAAACCCGGGTAGATGAAGGTTAGCCAGGGACGATCCCAGCCAGAAATAGCTGCGGACATCCGCCTTCTTAATTCTTGAAGCATGGTTCTGGGATTACGACCATCGCAATACCGGGTTGTGATTACTTCCCCAGAATTAGTTCCCCTTTCTTGTTCTTTTTTTTTGGTTTTGTTGGGGTTCCCATTGTTTTCCACTAACCATGCAAAAAAAATGTTCGGCCAAACAAAATGCTGGGGTCCTAGTTCCAGCCAAGATTACAACTCACTTTTGGGACTTCCGGGTCGGTAGGCCTACGTCAAGGACTTCCAGGAGATGTTCGCAGGTCTTGGCCTGAAGGCGACGTCCAGGATTTTTGTTGTTGTTGCTTCGGTTTGGGAAGCGGATGCGGGAGGGGCCCCCACCAAAAGGAGGGTGGCTAGAGGGAAAAAAACGGCAACATGTCGATTTGCATGTGTTGAACTTTTTTCCCCAGTGGGTTTTTCAGGGGGCTGTTTGAGAAATTCGAAAACTGGCTGTGAAGAAGAACGTGACCCCTGTCCAATGACCTGATTGAGCAGCCATCCCCTGAGCAACCCAGCATGTCCACGTGCTGTCATGTGGCTATGATTATGTGCTCATGTCCACCAAATTGCCACACACTCATACCAATAGGTGTCCTTGTTCGGCCAGTTTAGCTCAAAATAGATGGCACTGGCTTGGATGAGTGCTACTCCATTTACCAGCAAACACCATCCTCTTATTCCAAGGTCACCTATCAGACTCCTGGGACTCCGGGAAATGCAGGGAGCCGCTTCGGGAGGACTCCTCCGGGAAGTCCCGGGAAGCCCAGCGCCAGGGGTACCACCAAAAAGATACGTCGCCATGGGCACCAAAAGTGGTTCACCAGGAAGGGTACCAAAAAACACTGACTCCCCTGCAACTTACTTGACATGAATTCCAAGAATGGCACCCCTACATGGAGCTTCCTCCAGACATGATGGGTTTCTGGGTTTCATGCCCATCTCCCGAGAGGTCAACTTGCAAATAGATGGTCATGGGAAACCCAACGCGCTTGCGTGAGCGAAGCCAGTCATGGCCAGTCAGGCGCACTGGGAGGAGCCGCGCTACACCACCTTCAATGCGCGGACCTATTTGCGCCCCGAAGGACAAAAGGGGAAAGGCAACGGAGAAACACGGGGCAAAGGGAAACGAGAGGCAGAGAACAAGAGAAAAAGACACACACACACACACCTACAACAAGAAGCAGGCAAAGTGGGGTTGGGGGGGGGAGGCAATTACTTGACACGACTGTTTTGATGGGAGCAAACCACGGGGCACTCGTTTTTTTGTTCTCAGGATACCACTGCCCCCAAACTACTTGCAGAGGAAACGGAATATGCCCTTCACAATGTCAGGGGCAAAGAGGGGACATGCTCCCCAACAAAAACCCTATTGGCCCCGAATGGACCTTATTCGGCTGTTAGCCGGTGGGCAGTGGTTGCCATGGGCCGTCGGAAAGCCGAGCTTAGGCAGCCGCAGCTGAACAAGGCAGCCAAGAGCAGTGAGCTGGAAGAGAAGGGCGACCGCAACCCCAAGGAGTGCTTGCGATGAAGTGCGCTTTTGGGCTTTGGCAAGCTCTAGGTCCCCATGCTAAGGTGAGATAGGGTGATGTTTGGGAAATATAGCAATCCCCGCTAAACCTGGCAAACAGTGAACAGGTAAGGTTGCTTGAGAGGCTTGCCAATTCACGCATTTGTTTTGTTTACATGGTTACACTACAGTTATTTCAACAACCTCCTGATGTCTGGCCAGGCATTTGTTGCGAGTTTTGCCCAACCCTGGTGCACTTTGTGAATGACCAAAGGGGGGTGTTTCGTTTTGTTTCTTCTTCTTTTTTCCGGGTGAAGTTTTTAAGGGTACCCATTCTTGCGGTTTGATCTGAGCACCAAGAGGACCACCACCAATTTCGCGGGGCTTGTTTGAGCGGCGTCACGTTTGTTGGGTCACCCAAGAAGTCCCCAAGTGAAGAAGGCCGAAAGGACCGCAAGAGACCTCAAAAAACGGGTCTTGGGTTTGAGGGTTGCGTGATAAATTTGACCAAACAACACCCTATGCAGGCCGGCGAGTCTGCAGGTTCGATTTGTTTGCTTCAGTGTTTAGGGTGGTGTCCTTTTCAGGCTTCTGTTTGTTCCTTCAAGCCAAAAGGACAACTGCCCAATTTTGTGGCTTCCCCCTTTTGTTGCACATCCATGTCAACGCTACAAATTATGAGACTTGGAACCATCTCAAGAGTGTTTGATGGACATGAATCACCACCCAAGTGGTGTCTTAACAATTACACCCAGGTCTGTGCGGCATTTTTGGCTGCTGCAAAAAAAGCAGTGTTGATTCCAGACACGATGCCTGTGAGGACTTTGTGCTTTTCACCAAGCACTTCGAGGTGGGAGATCCACTTGCATGCCCTCACTTAGCTGCTGCTTGACATCCCCAGTTTATACGTCACCTTTTTGGGGGGCTGTGCCCACTTCGCACCAGTCGGTATGTGGTTTGACCCAGTTCTCATAGGGTTTCATCCATCCCACAGGATTTCCTCTAGAACTTCCTTTGGGGACTTGTTTGGGAATATGAACCAACTCGTGTCCGCAGGCCGGCAACGTGATCCGGGACAACACTGGCCAGGGGCTTGGGCGCAGTTTTGTGGTGGTAGGTTAAAAGAAACTTCAGGAAAAGCTGACGTAGCATCACCGCTGTCCCTACGTAGATGTTTAATCATGGGGGCAGTGCTGGGGAAGTACTGGAAGACAAGGTCAGGCTGTCACTTTGTCTGGTGATTCAGCGGTCTAGCGATTGATATCCCAATTGGACTTGGGACTCGCGGGCTCGCGCACGGTCAACGCGCCAGACTTCTCGGTTTCTCGGCTTCGCACACTGTTTGCTGCTTAACACTGGAGGTTGTTTTTGACAGAGTGGTGCGGGTTGCTTTTTAGGGAAGCCAAAGAGAAAACGGCCATTTGGGGGTTGCTTTTCTTGACGACAAACCCACTTGGCTGTGTGAGAGATGTTTCAAGGTCTGAATAAGCTTAAACTACTGACTATGGTGGTAAGGAAGCCAACTAGACCTACGGTGGCATTTGCCAATGGGAGTTTCTTGGAGTAGGGACACAGAATTAAACAATCAGGAAACCTCTAATTGGTGGTTTGCATTTGGATTTGAAAGATCTGGTTCTTGTTGAAGGCAAATGGGAAACCACCCCGAAACACCTCCAAACCACCACTCCAGCCTTTTCGAGGGACGCTGAAGCATGGGTACCAAAAAAGAGGACACACCTGGCCATTGTTTCTTACCTAACCGCAGGTCCACAAGTCCCACTGACAGCTCAACAGTTCCTGCCCGTGCTCAGAAGGGAATGCCCCACCGTGTTGGGAATGTTCTTTAAGGGTCTCCTTAAAGAAAACCACCAGTTGGATGCTTCATAGGGGGCATTCCCTCATTCCCTGAGCATCAGCAAGTTGACATCTACGATTTCAGCTGGTTGTGCCTTTTGTGAGGTTGGACCCCAAAACAAGTTCCCCAGTCTCTGCCGAGATGGAGCCCCGGACCACTCCGGGCGGGTCCGGGTTAAAGGGTTCCGAGGTTCTGGGGAGAACCTGGGCTTATTGTGGATTTCCTTCTGGGCTCCTTAAAAGATCTCCATTTTGCCCATTTGAAACATGTTTTTTTCACCAAAATAAAGGGAAACCATCGTTTACAAGGCAATGTTCAGGTGTATAATGTAAGGATCCCTGCTCTGGTTTCCCTTTCACAAAAATGGGGACCGGTACCGCCAAAGAACGACGAGCCAACCAGCATGGATTTCCGAAATTCAGAAGAAGTCCTGGATATGAGTTTTGTGAATATTCCGAAGTGTGTCTTTTTTTGGAGTTGGTTGTCCTTTTTGGCGATTCCGAAAGGAAATGGAAAACCAACCAGAAGGACACACTCATTTGCTTCGATTTCAAGTCCTCTTGGGCACATGTGTAGCGACCCGGGGACTTCACCTGGGACTCCACGTGGGTGAAATCTTCCAACTTCCAAGAGTCTATGGTCCATTTGGGCTTTGGGGCATGGGGGAACTCACTAAACACGTCCAGTAGCAAGTCCAAGCGGCAGATTTGCATTTTGTCCATGTCTCGGGGAGAGTTGGGTACGTTTTGTGTCCGCAGCTCACGTCCGGTAGGTGAGGGTCACTATGTGGAGGACATGGTCTTCCCCACGCCGGGAGCTTGGGTCCGGAGGTACCTGAGCCACAGATTGAGCCCTGCTTAAGGTCTTCCTCTTAGAGTTGTGTGTCATGTCTCGCGAACCCTGAGTTCCGTTTCGGACTTTAGTCGCCGTTTTGGGTTTGGACCATTTTGGCAAAGCCACTCAAGTGAGCGGATTGCGGATGGGCGCAATCCCTTTCGCACGAAATGAAACCATGGTTGAGTTCATTTTTTTGTTCAGGTCCTTGGGGATTTGTTTTACTCATTCCAGGGTTCTTAGGGTGCGAAACGGATTTCCTCCATCCACAGTATCTTGGTGGTTCCCATCCCGTTCCTTGGGCTTTAGAGGTCTCGAGGCTTCAGTGCCGTTGGTCGTTTCCCTTCAACCCGAGGTACTTTTTTTTTTCCGCAGCGGATCGGGAAAAAAAAAGGCCGGCCGGCTCCATCATTTTTACGCCTCAAAAGCAAAGATGCTGGGTGTGTGTGTGTGCGGAGTGGCAGAATACCCTGTCACCACAATTGAGCGCAGGGGGACGTGGCGTGCAATCAGGAACCACGTCCAAGGAAGCTACCTGATTGCACGGGAAGCAGAGCCTGATGAGCTCTGTGTACCTGCGAGTGATACAATGTCCTTTTGGCCCGCTGTTTCTCTCGCTGTGTGTGCTTCTTGTTCTTTCTGGTAACGTTTTCGACACTAGAGGGAAGCCGAGTGCACTGCGAGCCGAAACTTATGCATGAAGAACCTTATCCAAGCCGAAACTTACCAGTTGTACTCGAAAGATTAGCACCCTCCATCTGGAGTTTAAGTGTGTGTGTGTGTGTGTGTGTGTGTGTGTGTGTGTGTGTGTGTGTGTGTGTGTGTGTGTGTGTGTGTGTGTGTGTGTGTGTGTGTGTGTGTGTGTGTGTGTGTGTGTGTGTGGTGTGTGTGTGTGTGTGTGTGTGTGTGTGTGTGTGTGTGTGTGTGTGTGTGTGTGTGTGTGTGTGTGTGTGTGTGTGTGTGTGTGTGTGTGTGTGTGTGTGTGTGTGTGTGTGTGTGTGTGTGTGTGTGTGTGTGTGTGTGTGTGTGTGTGTGTGTGTGTGTGTGTGTGTGTGTGTGTGTGTGTGTGTGTGTGTGTGTGTGTGTGTGTGTGTGTGTGTGTGTGTGTGTGTGTGTGTGTGTGTGTGTGTGTGTGTGTGTGTGTGTGTGTGTGTGTGTGTGTGTGTGTGTGTGTGTGTGTGTGTGTGTGTGTGTGTGTGTGTGTGTGTGTGTGTGTGTGTGTGTGTGTGTGTGTGTGTGTGTGTGTGTGTGTGTGTGTGTGTGTGTGTGTGTGTGTGTGTGTGTGTGTGTGTGTGTGTGTGTGTGTGTGTGTGTGTGTGTGTGTGTGTGTGTGTGTGTGTGTGTGTGTGTGTGTGTGTGTGTGTGTGTGTGTGTGTGTGTGTGTGTGTGTGTGTGTGTGTGTGTGTGTTTGTGTGTGTTTGTGTTTTTGTGTGTGTGTTTTGAAGGCTACCCCTTTGTGCGGCTTTAAAGGGAGACCAAGAGGAACAAATCCACCTTTTTAAGGGGTCCCCTATGTCATGTGCAACATCCGAATATCGTGTTGGTATACTTTGGGGTTGCGGCTAGCCGCAAGCCAAGCAATTCCAAGTGAGGGTTTTGTTTGGGCACCCCTGGCAAGGCAGACATGAATTGAATGGATCGATTTGGCGTTGTAACCCGGGTTTGGAGTGGCACTCCCTACTTCAGATCTGGTTTGAACCGACTGAACCCAAGTTCATTTCATGGTTTCAGGTTTCACAATATGTTTGGCTATGGTGTCTTACCCCTAAGATGAAAGACTCTATCGATTATGTGCTTTAGGGGGTCCTTTGGGCTCTACCTAGGGCCCAAACAGATCAATCCTGGGGGTAAGGCCTGGCCTGTTGGAGTCTCGAGCCATTTTTGTTCGAGCTCTCGGGGCGTAAATTGAGCCCTTCCTGGCACCGCAATTTAGCCGCTGTCTTTGTCATACGGCCCAAAGGCCGCAAAGCATGGCCGTTACCGTGTCTTGTTCAACAAAATATCAATCGAGTTTCATACTGACTACATGTTCATGGCCGTATGAGCAAATACGGGGGTTTGACTGACAAAAAGTGCAAGTTTGAGATTTGCGGCTATAGTCATGATAGCCGCAGAAGCCAAGCCACTCCAAATACATTTTGTTTAGGGGGGTGGGGGTATGGTGTCAAGCCCTGACTCAACAAGGAGTCGTTCTTTTCCGCCAATCCCCATGTCAAGCCCGTGGCAAGTGACTCGAAACTGAGGCTCGAATTCCCCTCGGACCATGCACTGGTGGCTGTGGCCAGAGACTCGGACATTTTCAACGAATCGAGGCTGCGGCGGATGGCATGGA